ATTTCCTGGCAGGCGTTTAAGGCCCAGGAGCCTGGCGCTGAGCAAAGTAAAGCCAGCGAGATCGACGCTGTGCGGAGTTGCCAATCGCTCCCGACCTCTTGGAGGCCTCCTGAGTCTTCGTATGACCAGATATCAGGTAGGCCTGCAGCGCGGGCCACCATATGCCTCCAGGCTCCCAGGAGTTCACCCACAAGCCACGTTGGGGTGAAGTCGGAGGGGCCAGGCGGTGTGGGGGAGTACAGGTGCTCGGCGATTGGGGCGTATCGCATGCCCGCTTTGACGAGCTGAATTCAACAGAGTCACGCCCAGGAGGTCGAGGGCGTGCCTGTTGGGTGGCTGGCCAAGATCTGCTCCTGGGTGACTCTGAGGTGAGGCGTCTGCTCGCGGCTCCTCTGGGTTGTAACTCCAGGGGATGGCCAGTCTGTGGCAAGTGATGCAGGTTCGTCCTGTGGGATCTCGGAGCATCCAGGCGCCACAGAAATTACATCTCTCTTCTGGTCAGAAAAAGTCCCGCAGCCGTAGTCTGTAGGCTGTGATGGACCATGGCCAATCGTCGTCGCAACTGTCGCTCCCTTGGAGGGGGGCTCCAGGGATGCCCGCGGAACTGGCGGGTAGTCCCGAGAGGGCGGTACCCATGCGACTGGGCCTCTACCTGCTTGTCGTCTCGAGTGCACGTCACTTCCCGTGCGCTCGAGGTTCCCTCTCGTGATGGCCCACTGCCTGACGTCCCCGTGGTCCGGAAAGTGGACTATGTTTTGCCTGCGCTCGTGAATCAGGACTCGGTGGGCGTAACCCATGACCTCGTCATCCATGGGTCCTGCGCCCCGTCTGCTCGGTTGGGGCCACCGATGTGCAGAGGGGCAGAGTCCTCAGGGGATCTGGTGGGCATGAGCATCCTATCTGTGTCATATCCGCTCGGGAGCTCCATTCCTATGTCGCAGTAGTGTGCAGCTGCGGCCATGGCAACGTACTCGAGCCGTGCTAGCTGCCTCTCAGTCACTGAGGGGTTGGCTGCGTCCATTCTTTCACTCCTTACACTGGGATCATGAGTAATGCTCGCAAAGCGGAAGGCGAGGACCTGGACTGGGTCCGGTTGAACGCCTCCCAGACGCCCTTCATAGTCTCCTCCAGTGATGGACCATACTAGCCAGGTGTGGTCCAGAATGGCGAGGATTGGGGCTGAAGTGGCGACCTCGGAGTAACGTCCAGGGAGGGGGTTTCTACGAGAGCCGTGCGCATGGGGCTGTCAGCTCGTATGCCTGGATGGCCTGGGCGGTGCCTCCTCCACGCGTGGTGTATGAGGAGCTCCAGGTTGCTGGTCTCCCGAGATGTTCTCGGCGCTCCGCGGTTGGGGACCTCGCGCCATGGCCCTCAGTGTGCACAAGGTGCCGGCGTAGGGCCCTCATAGTGCCCCCCTGCCAGAGATTCTAGCGTCTGCAACGCGCGGGCCACAAATGGGTCCGCCCGCCTCCCGGCTGGCCGCCCAGTCAGCATTCGTGTGCCCAGTGGCGTCCAGCCACCGTGCGTGGAGATCCGCAGCGCTTTGCCCCCTGCGCCTCAGCGCTTGGCTGTGGTCGTCAAGGTCTGAGGGGGTGGGCGGGTTCTCCATTCGCAGATCATCTTCCAGGGCGAGATCTGGAGATGGGTAGGGGGGGGGGTCCGTGAGGACGGGACCCCTGTGCGCCGCGTGGCTGACCTCGAGGGGCGCGCCGCTGTTCGCCCCAAGGAGGGGCCCCCGGACTGTGCCCTGTGACGAGTTGTCAGGTCCACGACGGCGTTCACCGATCGCAGCGTTAGGAAACTCGAGCCCAGGGGGCAGGTCGGGAGGGGAGAAGTCGGGGGAAGAGCTGGTGGACGAGGGAGGAAAGGCACGAGGAGATCCATCCGCCGGGATCGGAGACCTTGCCCGATCGATCGGATCGACATGAGGAACGGCCCCGACCGCGGGATCGAAGGCGACCCTGGGGGTGCTGGGCGAACGAGGAGGCCCGCCGGGCCCTCCAACGGCCAAACCCACGGCAAGGCAGAGGCGATCGATCACCCCTGTGGAGGAGGGCGCCCCCCTGCGATCAATGGAGCCGGGGACCTCCGACTCTCGCACCCCTCCCTCAGGCGCGAGGCAAGGCCCGTGGCCTACTCCTGGGGGACATCGGGAGGCCGCGGTATCAGCGCGCATACTGAAGACGCTGTCCCGTCCCGCCGCTGCGGGGGCAGGGTTGCAGGTCATGTCTTCCCTCTGCCAACGATCCCTGGGTTGAACGCCGTGCGCCTCTCTCTGCGCGCCGTCGTCCGGTCCAGGGTAGCGACGGAAGGTCGCTCGTTCTGTGTGCATCGCGGGGGGGAGAGCCCCATCCCCTCCTTGAGTGTGGTGCCTAGCGCTCTCGTCTCCAGCGGGTCGACTGGAGGCGGCAGCGCTGGGGTGCACATGACCACCGTACCCCCGTCCAACCCCCGTGGGAGTAGGGCCCCTGTTCCTGGCCCCCCCGTCCGTCTGTTCTCTGGGTCGCAAGCCTTGGGCGTCATCCAGCCTTCCGCCATCCGCTCCAGGGTAGCGACGGAAGGTCGCACAGTTCGGGCATGCATCAGGGATGTCTGCATCCCCCCTTCTCCAGCATTATGCCTGCCGCTCTCGGGCGCGCGGGAGCGGTCAACTGCTGCGTCGGTGGCGGGATGCCCTTCACGGGTGGAAGGAGGGGCTCCACCGCTTAGCTCGCCAGCGGGGACGGTCTCACCCAGCGCAGACACGCCCAGGGGGAAGGGGTTCGGCGGCGGGTTGGCGTGACCCTTGACGGGGCGCGCAGGGGCTGCGGGCAGCGGATTGCCCGCACCTGTTGCGCATGCCCTCTTGAGCGCCCCCAGAGTATATCAGCCCCCTGCGCGCGACATCCGAGTCAACCTGTCCCCTGGGAAGACCGCGGCGGATGTTCGCCTGTTCCTCGTCGGTTGTCCTGAGCGCGACAGGATCCCCGTGAGAGTTTTGTGCCGAAGCTGGGCCCTCTCCCCCCGTAGCCCTGGCAACGCCTGGGGTCGGTTCACTCTGCCCGACAGCGCCTGGAGCGAGGGAAGTTGGACGTCCTGCAGTGGGCATGGGAGCGGCGGAGGTGAGAGAGGCGGCTGGGCTAGACAGGAGGGCTTCGTGCCCAAGGTCATCATGTCCAGGGGAGCGGAGGAAGGTCGCAGCGTCGGGTTGTCCTCTGCCAAGGTTGCCACGACCATCCCCCACGGGGGTCAGCTCCCTGGTGCGTTCTACCCCTACACGCCGTTCCCTGGGCTGAACATCGCGGGCGTTACTGTCCGTCGCGGTCCGCTCCAGGGTAGCGACGGAAGGTCGCATTTCTGTGTGACTTGTGGGGATAGCCGCACTACCCCCTCCTTCAGTGCCACGCCTCCCGTTGTCAGGCTCCTGAGGGCGGCCTGGAGTGGTGTCAGAGTCGAGGTGCGCGCCGCAACCTGAGGACCTGTCTTCCATGCTCGAACCGTTGTTGGGAGCAGCCTCATTCGGGGCGGCCGCGTCCAGAGAGGGGGGCACGGCGGAGTGAGGGCAAGAGTCCCTAGGGCGCGTGACGGGGCCGAGGCGACGTGACTGCCCGTCTCCCCCCACTTCGTCTTCAGGGGCGCTTGCTGGGGGTGTCGTCCATACAGTCCCCAGCCACGCCATCGAGGTCTCTGCGTCGGGGGCCGAGGGGGACTCCCAGCTCGTCGCGAGACTGTCCGAGAGGAGGGGGGTTCGTGGGAGAATGAACTACTTCAGGAGTAGGCCCGTCGGCCCCCGTAGGTCTAGCATCGCCATGGGCGGTCCCGCAGTGCCCAGCGCTGCCTGGAGAAAAGGAGATTGGGCGTCCAGCCGTGGGCAGAGGAATAGCGGGGGTAAGGGAAAGGTAGCTGGGCGGGAGGGCCTCATGTCTGACAATACCTCCAGGATGGCGACGGAAGGTCGCGCTTTCAGGGTGAAACGGAGGGCTGAACGTATCCACCCCGTCTACCGCTGCGCATCCGTCGATCTCAAGTCCAGGGTTGCGACGGAAGGTCGCACTTTCTGTGTGTATCACAGTGCCGAAGGAACAGCCCCTCCCTCCGATTGACTGGGGATCATGTGTCCTCGCGTGCCCGAAGCATCGGCCGAGGCGCTCCCATTCCAGGGAACAGAGAGCGACGGTTGCCCCAGCGGGATGGTGTCCTGAGATCCAGGGCGAGTCTGTCCAAAATCGTTCGGCCCAGTGGTCCCGAGGCCGACATCAGATGATGCGGCCCTTTCCCCCGCAGGGATGACAGGATTGTCGCCGATCGATCGCAAGCTATCAGGCCGACCATCCATGAGGCAGCGGACCCTGATCCGATCTGAGCCTCGGGCCGCTGAGCCCGTCTGCGCGGCGGGCAGGCTTTCGCGATGGCTGGCGCGCCCGGGGCCGGAGGGGGTCCAGGGCCGCGGGCCCCCGGCGCAGCGTCTGGGCGCCCCCTTGAGCGGCGGGAGACTGCACCGGAGAGGGCAGGCCCACCAGACGGCCTTGAGCCAGAGGCTACGGAGAAATGGTGGGAATACGCGAAGCGTCAACAATGCAAGTTCCGTCTGCTGACAAAGCCCCTCCGTCTGGGAGTGGCGGTGCTTCAAAGCTGGCACGCGCTGAAATGCATGCGGCCACGCCATGGCATGCCGTGCTCAAGCCGAGGTACCCCATGCCTCACCTGAGTACAGCAGGTTCGCGTCGTGACGGCCCTGGTTTCTGGTACCGAATGGAGCATTCGACCTTGAAGAATCTGCTGCTTCTTTTAGATAGCCAGACTGGTCCATATTAACCAATTCTGGGTCACTGGAAGCGTCAACCTTGAACGCCCGCGGCGGGGTCGCTGCCGCATCGACACGACCCGCACTTCCCGTATCGTGCGTTTAACCCTCTTCTGCGCACTGGCGGCCCCCTATGTGGCCTGCCGCCGAACAGCATGATCAAATCAGAGGCGATCGAGGACACCACGGCATTGGTGGTGCCGATCGCGCCGGTCCATCAAAACATCTCCGAATGTACAATCAGCCTAGCATGGGAGCACACGATTCCAGATCACGCGTCGGGCGGGCGATCGGAATGTTGGAAGGCAAGGGGGTCAACTCTATGGGTCCTTAACCCCGCAATAGTGGACGCAAATTATATTTTCGCACCGTTATTGAAGGACTGGGGTCCCGACGACAATGGGAAATCGTTATCTATCCGCTGCACCCGCCGCACAACAAGGACGATGACGACTACGACTACGATTGCGACTGCGACCATGATGCGACAACGATTACGACTACGATTGCGACTACAACCACGACTACGATTACGACAACACTCGCCGCTACTACAATCACGATTGCAAACACCAACATCGACTGCAATCACGACTACAACCACAACCACGGATTCATATTGCAATCCTCGTGGGAAAATGCTCACGAATCCTCCCGCGTGTGGGGTCGCCCACAATGGAGTAGTCAGCGGAGGAAAGAACAACCCGACATTCTCCAGTCCACCCAACAATGGGGGAACATGATCCCCGCCGCGACGACGAAGACGAAGACGAAGACGAACACGAAGACGACAACGACGACGATTACGACGACGACGATTACGACTACGGCTAGAACCACGACTACGATTACGACTACAAACACGACTACAATCACGTTTGTCAACACGATTGCAACCACGACTGCATTCATGACTACCGCCACAACGACTGATTCCTATTGCAATCGTTATGAGAAGATGCTCACAAATCCTCTCGCGTGTATAGGGTCGCCCACACTGGATTAATTATTCCGTGGAGGTAAAAGCCACTCGACATTTCCAGTCCCTCCAACAATTGAGAGAACATTAATCACCTTCGCATCGACGACGACGACGATAACAACGACGACGACGGAGCCCAACAAAGCTTCTCAACATGTGTTTTATCTCTCTCTCTATATATATATATATAATTATCTCTCCCTTTCTCGCCACTTAGGTCCTCTTGGCTGATTCAAACATGTGTACAGCATGCACCCGCCGGTTGGACGTCTCTTCGATAACACGCTGACGTCCAATCGAATCCTGTCGTGTGGGCCCCGTCTTGGCCCGCCTCCCTGGGTTCCCGCGACGACCCTCACCCTGCCGCCTCGCCGCGCGGTCAAGGGAACGTGAGCCAGGCGCGCTGCTGGAACTTGGACTTACGCTGCTCGTTGTGGGTGCCGCGCACCCTGCACGAATGCATGGACCAATCGCGCGGTAGCCAGGGGCTGGCAGAGCCTGCACTAGAAATCGCCGACGCTGTCGAGCCGGTCGACGTCCGCCACGATAAGATCTCCGAAGCGTCACGAGAGCTCCTTGGACAGGTCGGCATCTGCCCCGGAAAGCTCGTCAGGGCGTCACCGAGGTCTTCCTTGCGGACATGTTTGGCGGAACATGGCTTGGTCGCGTCGAGACTGGAGTCGCCAGCGCAGCTGGAGCAAATCCTGCTGGCAATGCCGGCACTGCTGCCGTTGAGGAGTCTGCTCGCCGCCGAAGGCTCGTTCCGCGGGACGCCATCCTTCGACAGCCTCCATCGGGTGTCTACAAAGATCGCCAGCCCACGGCGGACCGCGAGGCTAGACTCCACCACACACCCGCACAGCTTGCACGGCTGGCTCCGCGTCATCATGCAGTGCGCTCCCGCTGATGAGGCCAACTGCTGAGGCCGCTGCTTCGTGAGTGGCCAACTGCGCACGCCAGAACCATCAGGGTGGACGTCGTGAGAGGCCAAGTGCTGCCGCAATGGATCGAGTAGGGGATCGACTACAGAATCGGTTTACCCCAAAATCGATGTTCTCGTCGAATGTCAGAAAAATGAGTGGAATGCTCGTAGATCGACGAGCATCCTATGCATGTCTCGTAGATGCGACGGAACAATCATCGGCGGTGCACAAACCTCCCTCTAATAAACCTCCCTTTAGTAAGAACGGCCTAAGACCGAAACTGACGGACCTGGACCCGCCAAAATGACGGCCGCGACGCCCTCTCGCGAACCGAAAGCGGCCAATTCGCTAATCGACGTGTCAGGGTAGGAGGTCTACCAACCTCCGGAATCAAGCCTGGGGTAAGTCAATTCTAATCAATTCTGCAGTCGATCCCCGACTCGACATGGAACACTTTCGAGAATGCCCGCCTGGCCGCGCCTCTTGAGGGGCTGACTGCTGACCCTCTGCAGGCGGCGCGGAGCGGGGGCGTCGACCGTGCTCGCTGGTGGCGCATCGGCCTGCACAGCGGCCCGGGACACCCACCCTAGACGAGCGCGTTCCACTACTCGCAAGGTGGCTACTCGCAGATGGTTTCCATCCGCCGGGGGCGGGGGGATCTACGAGAAATTGGAGTGTTGCGAGTAGTGGAACGCGTTCGGTGACACCCGTCGGCGCCGCGGTCGATCGCGGGAAGGCCCTGGTCCGGCAACTCCTTCCCGACTGTCTCTTTCCGCCAGGGCCGCTGGGCCAGGAACCCCAGCTCGGCCGTGGACCTTAAGTCGAACAGCCGCAGGTCGGCGGCGAGCGAGAGGGGGAAGTGAGAAAGAGGCATTATCCGAAGGCGGCGGGGCTTCCCTGAATCGGCGGTGGACAAACCACCCTCTAGTAAACCTCCCCGTAGTGAAAACAGCGTGGGACCGACACCGACGGACCTGGACCCGCAAAAATGACGGCCGCGACGCCTTCTCGCGGACCGAAAACGGCAAATTCGCTAATCGACGCGTCAGGGTAAAAGGCTTATCAACCTCCGACTGAAGCCGTCGCCGACCTTCTGAAAAAATGTTTCTGCGTCTTCGGGGGACTTCCGAGCCGTCTGAGACCCCTGAGGCCCGACGCTGCGAAAGAAACATCCACATCGTGAGTAACCACAAACGAAGCCCCGGACCCCATCTCAGTGCGTAATTTTCCGATCCGGGCCGACCTGCGCGGGTCCCAAGGCCCCAACAAAAAGCGAAAACGCCCGGCTCGACAAAATTGGAACGGCAGGATCGCAGGGTCGCTTCCCCGCCCAAGCTCGCCGACGAGCAGGGGATGCCGTGCCAGCGCGCTGGCCATCGTCTGCTGCGCGGCGGCCCTGCGCGGAGGAAGCGCCCCCGACGGCGTGCTCCTGGGGCCTCTGAAGCCAGAGCGCGACTGGGGCAGCGGGGGGGGGGGGGGGGCGTGAGGGGGGAAGCGGAGAGGGGGAGAGAAAGCGCAATCCCACGTCCAGGGTTAGGAAACAACTGCTGAGAGGTCTTCGGTCTTCTTGGGAAGAACCCGGGAGGATTAAGCCCCACTGGGGGGCTGCTACTGCGCATGAGGTTGGAGTACAAAGGCACAGAACCCCTGACCCGTAGGTGGAGAAAACGAGGGAAAGATGGGGTATTTTCCTCCTGTGCGATCAACACTCTGACCGATGCCAATGCCTGAGCCCAAGCGGCCAGGAGACAAGACAATAAGGAATACATATGAGGGTATTACACGGGTTCATTTCACACCCCCAGTCCCGAATCCCGCCGGCAAGGGCAGGGCTCGGGAAAAGGAAGAAAGAACCCGTAACCTTTTTACTCCTTACCAATCGCAATCAGCTGGGCGGACAAGTCTGCATCGCCTCAGCTGCGTCCCGAACACAACAGCTGCGTGCAATAGTATAGAGCACATCGGCTGGTATGATCGGGCAAGGTAAGGACGACGGAGCACCCAGGGCCCCTCTTTCTTCTCCAAGCACGCTTTGGTGCCCCCTCGGTGCGCCCCAAAAAAACATTTCGGCGCTCGAGGGCGGAGAAGAATGGGACACGGGTGAGCGGAGCAAGAGGATCTGAGCAATCTAGAATAACATCAGAAGCTGCTGCGTCAAAGACGCAGCAGGTGTTGCCAACAGCAGTATAAGAAAATCTGGGTATCATATCATTATCAACGCATGCTCGTCCTCCTAATATGTGATCGCACAGAAGATGTAAATAATGAAGGTAAAGCAAACTCGTTTTGACAAACACGAAAAGCTCCATAAACAATTCTGCATTGGGTTACTTCCCTCGGCAACACTCCTTAGGAGTGTGCTTTGGGTTTCACAAGATGTATATAAGGGGCCCCCTTATCACGTCGAGTGAAGTGGCCAAAGCTTGTGTGTGTTTTGGTTGCTCGAGGCGAACTTCTTAAATATGAAGTTCAAGCGTGCTCGGGCAGTGGGCCTTGCGGCCAACATATCTAAGTATTGCCTCTCATGTAGAACTAACTGGCCCACACGCGGTGGCCGTCGACTCCAATGAAACTGGTCGCGTACGTTGCCCAATGCGTCATTGGGGTCCAGTTGCGGAAACGCTGATTGTGTTGCAGATCGCGGATGTAGACGAACTCGCCGTTGTTCTCCGCGATGCGCATCAAGCACTCGTCGTAGTAGCTCCAATACCTTGGGCCCCACTGGCTGCCCTCAAGGTGCTGGCGCCACCGCGTCGCGCAATCAGCGGCTGTACGCGCCCGCTTGGCACGCGGGGGCGTCGCGGGTCTGCGACCTCCATCGCTGGCGTCGGCTGACTGCCGGCCGCTCGGCTGCGGGGCGGCGGCTGCGCCGCTCCGCCCAGCAGGCGTCGCTGCCGGCGCGCCAGAGGCGCGGCTTCCAGCAGCTTCGCAGCGGGCAGCGCGAGGCGGCGGCGGAGGCGGCGGCGCCATGGCGGCACGCGCAGTAGGTGAGTGCGCGGGGGTGGTGCCAGGATCGGTTCTAACCCCTGAACCCTTCCCCCCTTGCTCATTCGATCCCAGGGCAGGTCCACCAGAGGCGAGTCTGGCCAGCTTACGCTGCGTGGTTTTGTCATAAGTGCCGTCCCCGCGGGGAACGGCAATCGCGACGAGACCGCGCCCCTGCCTGGTGCCTTTGTCCATCCTACTCTCGTTCAACCACAAATTCTTGCGACCAGCGAATCCAAGCGCCTGGCTGCGGGCATGAATGCCACAGGCCGCGTGCATGTCTTCGATGGTCCAAGGCGCCTGACCGATGGCCTCACGGGCTCCGGTCATTTGGTGATGGAATCGGGAATCGTTGAGGCAACGTTGGATGACGTTGCGGAAAGGATGGAGTAATGGGCGGTCGTCATCGGGTTCGCCCAGCATCCTGCACGCCCTCGCAGGTGGGGAACCCGCGTCGCACCACCTCTTGTACATTGTTTCTGCATTTTTCGCCATCTGCCTCAAACTGTTACGCTGCTCGCCGATGTTCGACCGCCGTCCCATCATGTAGACGCGCGCCCCATCGGAGATGAGGCGGTCAACGCCGTTGTGGGACAGGTCGTCTCTGATCCACCGGTTGAGGTCCTGCAGGTACGTCGGGTCGCTGGCCTCGGCTCCGCCTTTGCCTGTGGCGCCTACAGAAGTGCTGCATTGCCAACAGATGTCACAAAGAGTCCCATCATTGGTAACGACTCCCAAAGACAGGAAGCGACTGCAGTTCTGGCATCGAGGGATATCATGCTGGAGATCCTCGGGGGGCCCGGACGAAGCCAGATCCCCAAGGGTACCCCAGCGGGTGTTGCCACCGGCTCCTCAAGCAAGGGAATGACCTATCTGGTTCATAGCCTCACGATTGAGCTCAGCGGTGGCTCGGGAAGCGACCGATCGTCCGATTCCCTCGATCTCGGTCAGCGATAACCGATCTCCCGGCAGCCCCGTGTACTCGGTGGAGCCGATGTCCGCGATGTCCATGTGACCACAGGTTCTGGCCAAGTCCGCACGAATGCGTGTGGCCTCTGCCTGCAGGGTAGTCTCGTTGTCACCCACGGTGCGGTCGATGTTCTGCTGCTCGGCTAAGAGCTGTACCATCGTCTCTTGATCTGGTGCGGCCGAAGCCACGCTACCTGGGTCCCGTGTAATGTCGATTGAAGCATCCTGAGCGGCAGCGCCTGGATCGTCCTGGCCAGGCGCAGCAGGCGCTGCCACCGGCTCCTCCCATGCGGGGAAGCCTGGGTCTCCATGTCTCGTTTCACATTCTGTGAAGAGTAACCGAAACGCTGTGAGAGCGGGGTGATTGTAATTGATGGAAACATTGGAAAACTGTCTCAACCCATTGATGCCCTCCAGCAGAAAGTTCTGGTACACTTTAGATCCAGTGGAAGATCCCTGTAGTGGTTCCCTACGCGGATTCAGGGTCGAGAACACGTAGCACCTTATTGAAGAAGTGCTCTGCGCTGCAAATTGGCAGCTCCCGTGCCCAAGTGTGGGCATGGTTGTAATGTATCTTGTATGTCTCCGACTCGGTCCCAAATCGAGACTGGAATCGCAGATGCGATTCGATCTTGCCTACTACTGGATTAGTCGCAGGTAAGATACGACTCGCAGACACGACTCGATCGTAGATGTATCTGCTGGGGCCGCCGTGTATCTCGATTACCTGGTTGAGTTGGAACATCGGTGATTCCACCAGCGGTGCTGACGTCCAATACTACACCATGTGGTCATCCGGTTCACGAATCCAATTGTTGGGATCTTGTGGACGATAGTCTCGATTCGTAATGATATGCTCTGGCGGATCGATAATGCTGTCGAGGATGTAGGACCCAGAGTCCTCATCTGCATGGATATCGGCTGTCATATCGGCTCGCATGGTGCCGTTGTCTGCCTTTTGATCCGCAGTCAATACTATGTCAGAGATGTCGACGATGACGGTTAATCCATCATCGGTGATCTGTGCCGCCTGTTGTCGATTGCCGTCGTCGACCTCAATGGGAGCTTCAGCAGGTGTCGCCGCCAGCTCCTGGTCCCTGGTGTCCGAGGAGCGGGGCGTCTGGGCAGCGTGCGTGGAATACGCACTCGCTGAAGAGTCGGGAGTCCGAGGTATGGTAGATCACCTGATTGAGCGTACTCCTCAATCTGAGCACTGCATGATGATGGTCCCCTCATTGCTATATCCATGTGGGCATCGTCGAATTATCAGTACGCACTGGCATAGCAAAAACGATTCCCTTGAGGGGTAAATCTTTGTCACAATACCAGATGTTGACCCATCGTAAACCGTAGTTGAGGATGGGCACCTGCGCCGCAAAGAACTTCTCAAAAACTCCGAAAGGTATGACGGGACCGTATATGTGGCCCTTGTTCATGCGGAATATGATGTTGTAGCCACCCTTGGGGTGATGGCTGTCGCAATGGTAGCAATTGATATGACACCATTTTTCTGAACGAGAATGAAATCTCCCATGCGGACGTCATTAAAAATGGGACGTCGATCCCAATCTCTCTGCGTAATATGTGCAGTAATGGGCCTGAGGGCCTCTCCGTAGCATGACATTGCAACCAGCCAGTTCCTGTCCTGAATGCTGCGTACACTCTTGCTGACCATGGCACGGACAATGGCCTCCTCATCGAAGGCGACGGGGTCAGCCATCTCATCAGCTGAGTTAACAAGCGCATCCGTCACGGCGGCATGGCCAGCAGGGGTCGCCCCCAGCGAGGGAGCGATGGGTTGCTGTGCCGATGACGCTGAAGCGGGCCCGGGATATCTGATCTGCAGAGGCTGTGGCGACGTAGCCGTAGCGTATGCCTTTACAGCAGGCGTTGCCGTCGGCGCAGGTTGATATGCGTCGGGCGGCGATGGTGGAGCAATCCCAGGAGGGTCGTCTACTATGTCTGCCTTCAACTCCTGGGCCACTTGCTCCTGTCGTGATTGTTGCGGAGGAGTAGCACAAATCTCGTGCTTGCTCACTGGCGGTCGCTGGCATTCCAGAGGCGGGTAGTCCCAGCTCGGGCCCGTGGAAGGCCCCAACTGTTTGCCTGCTTCGCGGTATCCCTTGATGCGGCGAACGGCGAGAATTACAGCGGCGGGGACCACGTCCTCGTTCATGATGGCACCCTGTGCACCAAACCAAAATCTGCAACCATATATGTGAGGGTTTGGCTTGGCAACGTGTACATATGTGCTTGAACTGTAGAAAACCTTAGAACGCTGTGTTCCCTGCTGCTTTCTGTCTCTATGAGACGGATATCTGTAGCCAGGAAGGATCCCCGTTTTAACGATGCTACTCCAGACACGGCATGTCGTGCCGTGGTGGAGGTATTTTACGTCCGTCCATTGTAAACTCTCCCAGCCCATATCCCATGGCATGGAAAGTGGGTTGACCGAACTGCGTCCTCCAACGCATCGAATAGCAATGACGCTGCGTAAATCG